GGGTGGGTCAAGGCAACAGTGGACCCTGAAACAGGATTGAGGACCATGCACAGTGCTCGTGCTTACTCGCAAAGTTGAGGAGCCCACTCTGATCATGTCGGCTCGAAATCAGCCCCTGTAGTCTGTTGCCCTATTGGCCTATTGATAGCTGAGGCGGCTTGCCAGCCTTTGAGAGCCCCACGTAAGTTCCCGACGGAAAAGAGCCACACTAACCTTTCTGGGCATCACGCCGACCTCTGAGAGCCTATGCCGGCATGTACATAAGGACCCTACATCACCTTGCACCATTCTCCGACGACCCTACACATGGTATCTGAGGCCCTACGTACCTAGATTATTGAGAGTCCCAAACGACTTCTGTGGGCCTTCGCCGGCTGGACGGACGGATCCGGTGGGCCTTAGCCGAAGGCCCGCACGCATATATTTTTTGAGAGCTTCATCGGTTTCTGATGGGCCCCGCCGGTTTCTGAGCGTCAGGCGCCGAGCCCTGAGGGCCAATGCCAGCTTCTGGACCCACGTCGGCCTCTGGTAGCCCACACTGGTCTTTCCCGTTCCCAGAGGCAGACCACCAAACTGAGCTTGCGATCATTCAGAATGGGAGCCTGCTTCATTACGATTAGGAACTGCTTTCGCTGCCCACCGGTGACCGTCCAGCCAGAAGTTGAACGTCGCGCAGTGAGGATGACGTAACGACGAAAGGTAGAAACAAGAGATTGACGTCCCGAGGACAGAAACAACGGATTGATACGTAAAAGAGAATATGCGGAACACGGTGTTAGGTTGCCTGAAAAGATTAAAAGTAACGTACCTATTGCTGAGCGAAAAAAAGATTGGTATCAGGTAAAAAAAGAAGTAAAGACGACGCCTTTAACCCTCGCCGGCACAGGCCATTTGCGTCCTTCGACGGCACAAGGGTACACAAGTACCCTTGTGTACCCTTGTGCCAAGTACAAGTACCCTTGTGTACACAAGTTGGTACGATCCCCCTCGCGTTTGGCCCCTGGGCCCTGGTCGAGCTAGAGCTTCGCGGAAAAAGCGAGCGTGTTGCTCGTCACGAGAGGAAGCCGATGATACCCAATTTTAAGGTCCTAGGTCATCGGGTGACCTTCCAGGTCAGGTCAATGACCCGAAAACCGGGAAAATCGGGACCTGTTAGAAAGTCGTAAAGTGTGGCTGCTATTTGGTTTTCCGGGGTGCTGATCACGAAGATCGTGTTAGTTTTTATCAGAGATGATGCCTTCAAGCATTTAGACCAGGTCGGGTCAGGTCAGGTCAGGTCAACCGGTAGGGGTTGTGACGGGTATTTGTAATGTGTCAACCGCCTCTGACAGCTTCGTAACATGTTACGAAGGCACCAAAACCACTTCGTAAATGTTCAAATGGTTGCTAAATTCGAATTCAGCTAAAAAAAACTAGCCTAGAAACATGTAAAACTCGAAAAAGTGAACCGAGGTCACCCGAGGTCACCAAAGGTCAATGACCTGACCTGACCTTCAGGTGACCTTGACACCCACCCTTATGTATAGGAGCAACATCAAATCACATGTTTGAACGTTTGAAACCACGAAAAGCTTGCAAACGCGCGACTAATGCGAGCCGACATACGCCGAATCGCGATTCCGGCCAAACATGGTCTCGGAAAAGAGGTCACAGGTCAAAGGTCATTTGGGTCAGGGTCATGAAATTTTTAGGGTAGGTGTAAAATTGATCAATGCGAGGGTACTGCAAGTTTCGTCGCGATCGGCCGCTTTTTATGCGAGTTATTCGCGAAAAACCTTAGGGGCGGGTTGCATACCCCCCCCCCCCTGTGCCGGCGAGGGTTAAAGGGACCCTCCCACCTTAACATTAGATTTGAGTTGAGATAGCCAAAATGGGGTCCCTGGCTCACAATTACCGGTTTCGGCACTCACAACATCGAGAAATGCCTTAAATCGGAAATATTGAATTTCAAAATTGCAGCATTTTGATTCAGAGGGGCTAATGCATAGGAATACCCCTCTGAATGTGTGACGTCAGCGCATATATCTAACGATTTTTAAATGTTTGACTAAAACGTTTTGTAGCACGTGGTGGTATATGCTGCTTTGCGCGCAACAAGTGCCGCACTTTCAGCTGCCAAACTATTGCTTGCAAATAAAGTCGCTAAGAACAGCGGAGATCCCAAAAAGTAAACAAAAGTAAATGTCTAATATCTTGAAAACCGGTGAATATTTTTCGGTGAAATTTGGTAGATATTCGTTTTCGCTCTTTCTGAACCGAGTGACATCACTTTCATGCCAATTCATAAACTTTTTTGAAGGTGGGAGGGTCCCTTTAAGACGTGAAAGCAGTAACAGGTAATCGGGTGTATCAATGTGCTCACATTGCATCCATGTTTCGTTTACGCTTTGCTTTTGTTTTAACCCGCGCCCCGTAGGGGGGGGGGGCCGAAACGGCCCCCCCTGTCCTTTTCGGTCGATATCTCCTAAACGGCTGGAGATATCGCCACCAAACTTTCAGGACCCCTTTGGGCATCAATTTTACACATTGTGACCAAAAATTTTTCCAGAGGCTGTGATAGGTTGGCCACAAATGACGTCAGAGTGACGTCATGTTCTGTCATTTTCGACCGAAAAAAGACCTTCGCGAGAAGACCTGTCAGGCCTACAGCTTTGAAGATACAGAAAAATGATCAAGACATAAAAGGTGTAGAATTGACAGGGCTACAAAACTGCTATCTCGGATTTTTGAAATTTTTGAGTTTTGATCCCAAAAAATCAAAAAAGCATTTTTTTGGATATATTAGCCAAAAAATCCAAAAAGTTTTTTGAGTTTCGAAAAAAACGGAATATATGTGATAGTACCTACCGTCTTCTATCTACATACCAAATTTCAGATCGATACCTCGTTTTTTGGCCAAGTTATAGTGAAAAAACTGTTCAAAAATGATGACGTCAAATTTTCAAACTCAATTTTTGGCAATTCTAGAACTCGTAGAGCAAAACAAAGACCACCATTAGACTCCCCGTGACGAGCTGCATCGAATGGATACCCATTTTATGCAAAAATATCAACTTTGAAATTTGACCTAATTTGACCTGACCTTGACCTGACCTTCACCAAAACGTGACCTAGGCTGGCCCCAAAGGCTGCCTAACCCACATAATCGCATTTATCATGTAAAATGGACCATAAAACATGTATCACACGACACATTCATATTGTGACCCCCGGTGACCTGACCTCGCTGTGACCTGACCTGGTATCAGTGACCTCAGATAGCAAAGTATGTGTTTGACGAACAATATACCATCGATGGTTTTAAATAAATTACCAATTTACTCGATTTCACAGCACATTTCTTGAATTGCCTGTGAACGGTGAAAATCTGACCTTTGACCTGACCTGTGACGTCATCGGTTTGACCTAGGTCAATGAAATTTGGTCACAAGGTAGTTCCCGGGTAGGGCTATCAAACGCCGTTTGAATTTTGAAAATCGGCCGGTAACTTTCCGAGATCTTAGGGGGGGGGGGCCGAAACGGCCCCCCCCCCCTACGGGTGGTAGGGTCCGCCGGTAGCCCTACGGGGCGCGGGTTAATGTGGACTGACGCCTCGCAATAAATCTCTCGTTTTGCCTTTTCGCTTTTGCCGCCCCCCCCGGGAAGTGACATTTTTACCCTGACTGGGGGGGGGGGGGCAGGCCGGTGACTGCGGGGGTTTGGCCCCCCAGTAGAGGCCCTGCGAAGGGGCGCCATCGATCTTGGGTGAGGCAACTGTCAGGGCTGTGGAGTTGGAGTCGGAGTCGGAGTTGGAGTCGGTCGGAGTCGACAGTTCTGCTCGGAGTCGGAGTCGGAGTCGGAGTCGCCAAAATCTTACCGACTCCGACTCCGGAGTCGGAGTTAACGCTGCATGTATCAACGTCAGGCACTGATTGACGATACTGCGCTCGAAATGAGATTTTGTCGAAAAAAGGCCATGCTACTGTTTTGGACGAACGTTTTCAGCGAAAGAAGCAGAATGTGAATTCCCCAGAAACTGCTTTTTAATTCTGCATGTTATTTGTAACGCATATTTGCAACGCAAAGCCTTGGAACGCGCAAGGGATCGTTTCAGGCAAGATAAAAACGTCTCCGTTATGAGCTTCAATATCCTTATATGGATTTTAATAGAACCGTCCGGAGTCGGAGTCGTGGTTGGAGTCGGAGTCGGAGTCGACTTTTGAAACCGGAGTCGGAGTCGGAGTCGGAGTCACCCTAAAATCCATCGACTCCGCAGCCCTGGCAACTGTAGTCTCCTTGAGGTGGGCGCCAGCGGCTCGCCGGCTCTTGAGGGGCGCCAGCGACTACGGCGGCGCTGGGGCGACTGTGATCTTCAGAATGGCGCCAGATTCTCAAGACGGCGCCATCGATCTCGAATGGGGCGACTGTGATTTTCAGAAGGGCCACGGGTGCTCTAGAGAGGCACCATCGAGATCGACCTTGGATGGGGCGACTGTAGTTTTCATTCAAGTGGGCGCCGGTGGCTCTTGATGGGCTCCATCGAATCATCGATCTTGGGGACTCGGAATACCTACCTATTCTGGTCTCCGGAGGGCGCCTTTAAACGTTGGGGAGAGGCTCAAGTCTTCATGGGGGGGGGGGCTGGAGAGCATTGGGGGTCCCGGCCCCTCCAAAGAGATATAAAGTTCCACCCCTGCTGTGCCGATCCCTCCCTCCGTTTGCTAATTGCTTTGAAGCGTCGCTGAAAGATGTTTGCCCTTCCCGAGTTTGTCGGCACGTGGCACGCGCCACGTGACACCTGGTGACCTGGGACATGCATCATCACCTGCCTCAAGGCATTACGCGTCGAACAGTACCATCAGCATCTCGATCCGATCATTCGTTTAGTTAGGCAACCTAATTGTACAAAGACATAATTGTATTGGCTCGATGACCTTTCAGAGCACGGTTTTTGGCAACGCAAGATGGCGCCCTGTCGGCTTCGCTGTCTTCTATAAGAGGTGCAGTTTATTACATCTTCAATCTCTGCAATATAGGAGGTCCAGTTTATATTTATACGTCCGTATTGCGTGCAGGTGTTGTGGGCGTTGTGGGTCCAGTTTATTTATACGTCCGTGGATAGCTATGATGTTTATTGATGTATAACGTCATAGTTCTATAGCCTTGATTGATAATAAACACATACACAGTAGTAAATGAACTTGAACACCTAAAATGGCACTCAGAGGGCTGTTCACGGACCCTGTGTGCGGTCGGACCGCACACAGCCTCCAAGCTCCGCCCACTGCGTCCCTACGTCAGCCTTGCGTCACCGCACACAGCGACCGCTGTGGCCGGTCGGGACTGGCCACAGCGGACCGTCCACCGCACGCAGCCGTGACGTCAGAGCCGCCTACCCATCCCCTACCCCCACGCCTGCTGGACGTACCGCACACACCGCACGCAGCAGTGTGCGGTGCCCGTGAACACCAGGAAAAAATGGTATTAGTCTACTTATGTCTACTCAAATTAGTCTATTTAGGATAGTTTTAGTCCACGCTACCAATGCCGAAAAATTAATAGATTTAGATAGATATTCAGTCATTTGTATCTAGCATTGACAAAGAAGCTCTGCTATCGCCACAGTAGGTATGGCGTCAGCTGGCAAATAATTTAGAAAATATTACCAAGGCCAGTTTAACCTACAGAAAAATAGCTGCCCGCCGTAATTTTTTGCCTTGAGACTGCTTCACATATTGAGCGTAAACACGATGGGCATGTAAGCAGAGCAGCGGTCTTTGGCAAAAAAATGCTGGCAGGTGGCTATTTTTCTGTTGGTAAAACTGGCCTCTGCCTTAGCTTCCTGGTTCATTGTGCCATACGGCTTTGCTTGTGTTAGTAATCGAGTTATGCAGTGGTGCGTATACATAACAGTAGGAATATCAGTGGTATTCTTAAAGCAGGCAACTTGCATGCTCATGCCCGTTTGCGAAAGGTCGCTATACTAGCTAGTTGTTGAGATATTTACACTAATTCTGCTTCACTGTCTTATAAAATAGTCTTACAGAACAAAACCATCTAATCTGACCTAACCTTACCTACAACCCACCCAGGGCTGTCTCATCCCGGTCTTCATGATGTGTGGTGTGCAACCAGTGATGTCATGGCATTGCAGCATCCTGACTAGGCTGCAGCCTCAGATCACTTGACTGGTGGTCCCTGACTTGACAAGCGCACATGTGCAGACTAGGGATTTGTATTCTGTAATACCATGAAAGGCAGATAAAGTGAGCAGCTGCAGTGCTCTGTTAATGTTTGAATATTGTAAGCTGTCAGAATTACATACAAATGCCAGATAGGTTTCTTGTTAGTTGTTTGTTTTGATTTCAGCTTCCATGTAATATAATTTTTGCCTCAGTGTGAAGTGTGGCAGCTCTCTGGGAGAGCCCTTAAGGTGGATCATATCCCATAGGATTGCATTATGGCTGTCTGACCCTTTGCAGTTTGCACCTACCACTACCAGTGACATCACAGAAATCACTGCATCCTCCTAATGAGCATACCTTCTATATAGGGCCTTGCATCCTACCAACCTATTAACCTACTAACTATAAACCTAGGTACAACATGCAAACCTACAATCTACCAATGTGCAACCTAACTACAGTGAAATTTGTGCCGACATCTCGAGAGCTGGAGAGCCCTGGTGACTTCTTACAAACGGGTGGCAGCATGTGAGACGCCTGCTATCAAAGTTCATTTGTCATAAATAAAAAATAATCAACCATTTCAGTGTTTTATGATTGTTTGCATGCTATAAAGCATAAAAAGTGGTTTTAGCTGATAAGGTACCTAAGTTGTCTTTTTGACATGCACCTAGGTAAGGGTCTTGAGTTTCACCTAGCCTTCAGATTCCAGGGGTGGGATGGATACAAATCTGAAAGGTTTGGAAGTAAGGTGTGCACTTTTTGGCTTTGAGTGCTTAAGCTCCCTAACCCCTAAACCCCCTACTCTCTGCCCCAGGGCAAAGCAGCTGTTGAATGTTGATGCATTTTCAAATAGTGTGATTTATGCTTAACATTTTATTCCAGATTGAGGTATGAATGTCCCAGGTACCAATGAAGGTCTGGTCATCCTTCCAGACCTACCAAAAGGCCACATGGAAAGCCAAGCTGAGGTAGGTTCCTTTTGAAATCTTTTCATCACTTGCAGGATATCCCAAGTAGGTAATAGCCAAGTAATAGCCATCATTGGCTTCAATTTTATGGAAAGCTAGATGTTCAGCATAGAATGTTATAGTTATACACATTTTCTACCTACTGACTCCAACTGATCCTCTCAGTAAAAGCAGGTGATGTGTGGTATTAGAACGTTCCACATCGTGGCTGTGTCCCACATCGGACAGTCCGACGAAAATGTTGTAGGTACCTATATTTGTTTCAAATTCCTTTAAAGATATTTCCGGAACCTCATTGCTACACAGTGCACATGTCCAATGCTTAGGCATGTCATCCAAATTTTTGAATCTGCCACTACCTATAGATCCAAATTGCTTATTTGGTCCAAAGACCTGAATTTGGCATTACAATTTGGCACTGAATTAGGCACTTGATTCGCTCTACCATGGATGAAGGAGAACCTTTCTTTCTCCTTTCAAGACTGGAAAAAGTGGGTTCTTTCATCCATGGCTGTACCATGTCACACTTAAAATTGACAATTATCGGGGTTACATGAGCACAGTAAATACGTATTTAGCCGCTAATTCGAATTAGGAACGCATTACCGACTCATGTAGCCACCTGCTAGTACGAATCGGCGATCCGATCCGCGGTTACATGAGCAAAGCAAATACGTATCACGATCGGATTCACCGCTAATGCGAATCAGGAGCGTATTACCGACTCATGTATCCACCTGCTAATACGAATCGGCGGTCCGAACAAAATCCGCTGGGAAAGAGGCTTAGAAGCGAATAGGACCAAGATACGTATTACAGGAACTATTTCTTCGCAAAAAGAAACATTAAAATGCAAAATAATAGGTATTTTTTTCATTTTCTTCCTTTGAAATAATATTAAAAAAATATGTTGGTATTTTGTCAAGTTTTCAACAATAAATATAGTGAAAACCAAATAGTAAATATCCACATTATTTCAGTTGAAACATTTTTCTGACAGCACTACAGACGAATCAAGAGAGGCAATTGCCCAATGAGTCAAAGCAAGACAACTTTATGTTCAACTTTTTTTTTGTTAAGTTAATTGAGAATGTTTTGAGCAGATTAAATGCAAAAAAGACATAAGATAATAAATATTTAATTTAGTCACCTCTATTGCTACGGAAGTGCGCCACATTTGTATGCTATTCCGTTTGTAATGCGCATCGAGCCGAGAGCCAAACTAGATCCGTTTGACGTCACTGATACGAATTTGCTCATGTAGTCGGTGCACTGAGTGCGTTCTTGGGGAGCTGATGCGAATTAGCGTAGTGCGTATTTGGAACGGATCGCTCATGTAACCGAAACGTCCGAGGCACACGATTCGGGCCGTATTTCACAAGAACTATTCTTTGCTGACTGGAAGCGTCAAAATGCAAAATACTAAGCATTTTTTTATTGGCTGCCTCGTAGAAAATAGCAAAAAAAATGTTTGTATTTTGGTTTAGTCTTTGCATGTGAAATAAAATGAATGAAAAATTTTGATAGATAATTTTTTCTGACCACCCTGCTGTCGCTGCATGGCGAATCAGTGCCCACTGACTTAAAACAAGAAAACTTTGTTTTCATTTTTTGATTTCATGTTAATTTTAAATGTTTTTGAGCCTATCAAATGATATAAGTATTTAAAATTTAGCTCAGTCGTCCCGGTAAATGCCGCAACTGCGCCATGACTGTACGCTAATCCTATTCCGTTTGTGATGCGAATTACCGGCCGTCGAGGAGTCAGCCCGGGTGAGCCAAACAAGATCCGTTTGACGTAGATAAAACGAATTAGTCTCATGTAACCGGTGCCGTAGATCCGTTTGTGGGGAGCTGATGCGCATTAGCGTAGTGCGTATTTGGAACGGATCGCTCATGTAACCCCGGTAATTCAGTTCATGACGTGTTTTGAACTTTGAAGACGATGGAAAAGGGCACCATTTCTCACCAAAATGACATCACTGAAGCCAGAGCATGGCGTAGTGTTAGGAAAAAGTGTCATTAGAGGCGCTTCAACAGGAGGCTTCCTCCCTTTCTATTGAACCTCCTTTCCTTATCTGATTCCAGAATTGAATGGTTTATGTTACTTGTTCCTTTGGCTTTTTTTTTTACCTAATCGGGAGTGCTTTTGGTCTATTTAAGGGATAGGGGAAGCCGGGGGAAGCCCGGCATAGTAAGCTCTTTTTCATTTTTATTACATACCATACGTGCTGTATAAAATGTTGATATCCTGTTAGCTAGCTAAGTTCATTGGCCGTGTCCTCCCAAAAATTCGGTTTCGTGGAATAAGTATAAGGTTGAGAAAATCGAGTTTTAAAAAAGTGTTGATTTTTCTGGGGTAAGCCCGGCATAGGGGTAACGCCGGCCACCTCCCCAGCGCTTTACAACGAGTTGATGAAACCATTATGTGTCTTCCAAATATTAACGGAAAGTGAAATATTAAGTTACGGATTAGCTCTGGACGTCTTAGAGTTTATGTCACTACTGGTATTTTAGCTAGCGTCTACCACATATACAGTACAGGTCGATGAAAATCGTGATGCAAAATTGACAAAAAATGTGTAGGTATTTCAAAATTGCTTTAAAAAAATTCTTTTTACCTTAATGCATCATATTGCATATCATTCGACTCGGCTGATGAAGAAGAACACAACGACACCATTTTTGAAGCTCTAGCTTCATTGTCTGTCGCGTTATCTGCAAAAACGTAGTTTGACCCTAGTTGACCTTAACCCGCGCCCTGGTGGGGTCTGTTTATAACGCGACCTGGTGGGGGGGGGGCTATTTTTTGCCCCCCCTCGTATCTCCGAAACTACTGGACGGATCCGCAAAATTCAAACGGCGTTCGAAAGGCCTGTCAAATTTGTCGAGGGAAACCAAATTTCATTGACCTCGGGGTCACCGATGACGTCACAGGTCAGGTCAAAGATGAAATGTTTCACCGTTCACGGGTCTGCTAGGGAATGCGCTATAACACCGAGGAAAACGCATTTTGTCGATAATCAGCGATAGGGCGTCAGTTGCCTAGTAGATATGTTGCTATTAGAGGTCACTGACAATACCAGGTCAGGTCACAGGTCAGGTCACCAAGGGTCACAGGTCAGGTCACATGAGCCCAACTTTACTAAGGTCGTGTGATGCATGTTTTATGGCCAATTTTTCATTTCCAACTCAATGGTGTTGGTTATAAGACTATCAGGTACGGCTTAGGTCACTTTCTGGTGAAGTTCAGGTCAAGGTCAGGTCAAGGTCAGGCCAAAAAAGGTCAAATTTTAAAGTTGATAGTTTTGCATAAAATGGGTATTGATTCGATGCAGCTCGTCACGGGGAGTCTAATGGTGGTCTTTGTTTTGCGCTACGGGGTCTAGAATTGCTAAAAATTGAGTTTGAAAATTTGACGTCATCAATTTTGAACAGTTTTTTCGCTATAACTTGGCCAAAAAAAGAGGTATCAATCTCAAATTTGGTATGTGGATGGAAGGCGGTAAGGACTATCACATATATTCCGGTTTTTGCGAAATTCAAAAAACTTTTTGGATTTTTCGATTATTATATCCAAAAAAATTATTTTTTGATTTTTGGGGGTCCAAATCCAAAAAATTCAAAAATCCGAGATACCAGTTTTGTAGCCCTGTTGATTCTACAGCTTTTATGTTTTCATCATTTTTCTGTGTTTGCAAAGCTATAGGCCTGACATCTCTTCCCGCGAAACCCTTTTTTGGGTCGAAAACGGCAGAACATGACGTCACTCTGACGTCATTTTCGGCCAACCTATCATAGCCTTTGGAAAAATTTTTGGTCACAATGTGTAAAATTGATGTCCGGGAGGGTACTGAAAGTTTGGTGACGATCGGCGCAGCGGTTCTGGAGATATATCGAAAAGTCTGGAGGGGGGCAAAAAATAGCCCCCCCCCCACCAGGTCGCGGGTTAAGTGACATGACTGGCTTTGTCTATGATAACATGTTTATTTTCGAAATTTATCTTTGATCTAGGTGTAAACCAAACCTGCTCAGTACCTATTATCTCATGGAAAACAGTGGTTTAGTGGCATTGCTCTCGGTTGGGGATAAGCAGGGTTACTTTTAAAGGGGGGGAAGAGGGGAATTTCCCCCCTTCGAAAATTCCGCTCCCCCTTTCAAATCGTGTCTGAACGGCTAGGGAGGGAAGGGGGAATTTCCCCCTTTCAAATTTATTTTGGAGCCCATTTTCAATCAATTCGCTATTCAGATTCTATAGTCATCGTTAATCAGATTCTCGTCATCAATCAACGTTGCTGGCGTTAAGATAATTATTAATTTTCAATTTTCGGTTCCATCCAACCATTTTACGTTCAGTGCAGCAGGAACTCCAGATTTGACCCGATACCGATCGGATAGTCGGTGGGACCGTCTCTTGTCTTGTCTCTTCCGTCTTTTCGCAATCACTGACATATCGGTACAGGCGTCGGCGTAGAAACCGGCGGGGGACGGGATTACCTCTCCGAACCAAGGGTGGATAGTGGATACAGGGGGAGGGGGGCAATGGGCCATGGCCCCTCCTTTGACGCAAAAAGAAGGTGACCCCCTTTTGGACCCCCTTTTATATTCTGTGTTCTTTCTCAGAAACGACCCATTTATTCACGATTATTTTCACTTTTTCATCGACGCCAAGGCCAGACATCTAAAATTTTTGTCCCAATATGACAATGGCCGTGTTTAACCATCCTCCAAACCGGAATCATTGAAGGAAAAACAACGTTATTTTTGTCCCATAGGCATCAAAGCTTTGAGTAATAGATGACTTTTCTCTTTATGCAGCATTCACGTTCATCTGCTTTGCATGCAGAGCAGGGCGCAAAAAAAGTACCTCATCACAGCCGGCTTTCCCAATGGAACTTTCACTGCTCACTAATACTAATAGTAATAATTCAAGTTTTGTGCTTCATTAGTTTTTGTTCGGATATCACTGCCCACCTTGTAGTTGTAGAGGTTGCAGTTTT